GGCATTCTCTCCTAGAGGGTCAGGCTGCCTCCCATTGTTCATATTTCTCTTTACCTCCTTTGAAATTTGAGGGGAGAGCAAAGGCAGGAAAGACCTTAGTAATATTAATCTAGTGTTGGAGATACTTACATATCAGTCAAAAGATATGGTCCCGGGTGCAATGGTGATGAGCAAGGAGAAACCCTTTACTGGCTCAGTGAACCAGTCAATGTCTGCCTTTAGCCAACTGTAGTGTGTGTGTGTGTGTGTGTGTGTGTGTTTACATGACTAAAGTGTTTATATGTGCAAGCCAGAGGACTGCCTCACCTGTCCTTCCTCAGGTACTGGTCTTTCATAAGACAGATCTCTCACCGCTCTGGAGTTAGCAAAGGAGGCTCAACTGGCTAGCCAGTGAGCCCCAAGGATTCCCCGGTCTCTTCTCCCCAGCTCTACAATTACAAGTCTGCCTCCACAGCGGCTTTGTTTGTGAGTTGACCTTTTGGGGGGTTTTGGTCACTGAGGGAGTTTGGGAGCTTGAACACAGGTGTTCATGCTTATGTGGCCATCAGCCATAGTATAAGCAGGGAAGATACTGACAGCAGCAAGAGTCTTGTAAAGAAATACATTGACCTGTGTTCTGTGCTCGTTGACCTGGGAGTCACTGTAATGGACTTTGGCATGGCAGCTTCTCTGTACACAAACTTTCCCCAGGGAAAGCGTTTGGAGCCATATACAGGAGGGGGTCTTAAATTCCTCTCTCCTGGATAGCTTTCCTTCTTTCCTACAGAGCCCCTGCCCTGTCCTTAGCTTGGGCTTTGAAGAGACTCTCTGTACTGGACCTCAAACTCCCCTGGTGTGCTATGTCAGGACATCTCAATGCCAGGCAGTAATGCACAATGCATTATCGCTTAGAGTGAGAGTCAGGCCCTGCTGGGGCTAGCGATTCGGATCCACACGCTGACACTCCCAAGCTTCATGGGACACTCACACTTTTAAGACATCGATAATGCTTGCTTTATGCTTATTGAATGCTGTTTCAGCGTGCCTTCTTCCATTATCAAGAGAGACTGGCCAGCTTTCTGATTTCACAGAGTTTTGTGGCTGAAAGGAAGTTTGAGAGGTCACTTGCCTGCCTACTGAATGGGACACTCTCAAAGTGAAAATGATTTCCCAGTGTTGTCCCCCGCGAGGACATCCACCAACTTAAAGTTCGTGGTGTTGACATCTACTTTGTTGCCATAAAGAACTGGCCCGTTTCTCTGTGGACACACTTTTCTCTCTAGAACTCTCTGTAGCTATGTCCTACACTGTATTACTCTGTATTTTGTCAAATGGTGATATTCAGGCAATCTTTTTGTAATTGTTCCTTATAAAATTGCTGAAAGGTCTTCCATCCAAGTAGGATTTAACTATCGCCTTAACAGCCTAGGTTTTTCCGAGAGACTGTTCACAATTAAGGAGCTGTCTAAATCAGCCTGGCCTGTAGGCATGTCTGTGCTGGGTTGCCTTGATTGTTAACTGATGTTGGAGAACCAGGCCCACTGTGAGCAGCATAATTCCTAGACGTGTGGTCGTGGACTATATAAGAATGTGAGCCAAGGATAAGCCGGCCCATAAACCAATTAGCAACAAACATCCTTTCTGGCTTCTCCTATACTTCTTCAGCTGTGCGGTGAGTGTGGCTGGAGGCCCATTTAGAATAGCATGCTCTATAAATTAACAAGGAGGCTTGCCTTCAAGCTCTTTCCTTGAGTTAAACCCTTGCCTTCTCTGAATGATGGGCTGTGACCTGGAATGCAGGCTGAATTACACTGTTCTATCCCTGACTTGCTTTTGGTCAGGGTGTTCTATCTCAGCAACAGAAATGAAACCTGGACTCCTCCTGTCATCTTAGACTCACATGTTGAGCTTGCAAATGTCCCCACTCGCACAGCATGTCTGCAGACACTGTGATTCTGCAAAAATCTGCGAGTGGCTACCATCATTGGAGTCCTGATAGCTTCAACATCCCCATATCATAAACCTTATAAAATATGTTGCCCTCTCAAGTCCCTTCACCAGAAGCTGAGAGACAAAACATTGATAAATAATTTCTGATGCTGGATTATCAGGATAACACCATGTTTTTCTTTGGAGCAAATATAATCTAAGTATTTACTTGGCACTCGAAGCAAGACTTTTAGGAAGTTGCTTACGGATCAATGAGGCTGTATTCAAGATGGGCTACTTACTTAGGCTAAGCAAAAGGTGTTTTGGTTTCTTTGCCAATGGCACAACTTTTTGTAGCCATCAATTTTAATCCATCCAGGTATGTCCCACACACTGGAGCAGAGGCAATCAAGTACCTGTCCCAGGAGACTGGCAGGCGGGGTGGCCAGCCCTCCCACTTGGCCTCATGTTTAATGCTAACCAGACAAGAAGGGAGAAAGCCCTGAACAGTCACCCTGTGCCTCTTTCTGAAGTTCCTAGTCTGTGTTTAGGCAAAGTTTTTTAGACACTTTAACAGACACTCTGCATCTTGGAGATGCAATGTAATGGGCAAATCCCCCTTGGAGCTAGGAAAGAATTGCCACTCCAACCTAGACAAGGGTAACGCATTTATTAAAAGTGTGATGTGGAAGTCATGCAAACTTTCCACCAGGGATCCAGAGCTGGCAAATCCCCAAAATTCAGCTTTCTTCTCCTCTCTGCTTTTGCTCCCTATTCTCCATTCTGTAGCTTTCTTTCTTGGTACTTATTATTTTCTCACCTGCTTGAAACAGGAAACGTGAGTGCTTTGATAAATGGCCTGAAGAGTGATTTAGTTTCTCTTCACAGTCCTTTGAGGTCTCCAAACTTTTCCAGGAAATATAATAGAATTTGGTAAACCTCTCTGCCAAACAGAAAGATAGAGAAGGTGTTTTGCTGATAGGTTAAAATGCCCATCCTTCAAACATTTATTTTTAATTAAGTAGACCTCCTGTAACCCTGGAATAGAGTATGCATCTTATAAATTCTCATTTCTACACACTTTAAGACTTTAAGGAAACTTTACTGCTGCCTGATGGGGCCCTAAAGTACAGAGGAAGCTTAGAGGAGGAATCTCACGGTACATGTGTGTTCTGTTTAGCCTTAACTGTCAACTTGGCTCAGCTTAGAATCATCAGAGAAGAAAGCCTTCAGCTTAGAATCATCTGAGAAGAAAGCCTTGGTGGAGGAATTACCTAAATCAGTTTGGCCTGTGGGCTTGTCTGGTGGGAACTGTCTTGGATCCGGCCCACTGCGGGAAGTACTATTACCTGGGCATGGGGTTGGCATGTATGAGAAAGCAAGCTAATCAAGAGCCTGCATTACCCAGCATGCAGCTTGCTCTCTTCCATGGTTTCTGCTTTGAGTCCCGGCTCTGACTTCTCCGCGTGGTGGACTGTGACCTGTACGGTGAAATAAATCATTCTCCCTGCCCCTGACAAGCTTTTTGTCACAGTGTCTGTCACAACAACAGGGTGTAACTAGAACACCATATATGCAGAGACGTGTTTAGTGGAAACAAGCTAACCAAAACCCTGAAGCTCACTTAGTGATCAGGTTTCCTGTGATACTCCCCGGTGTACGAACATTTCCTGAGAAGCTGTTAGAATGGCAGATCACGGGCAAGGATGAGATGCAGACAGAAACTGTGACTTACCGTCTTAGCTCATTCCTTCTTTTCACTCTTCCCAGTCTTTGAATTCTCTGCTGGGGAGGACAAATACAAGACACACATCTATGAAGTTTGTGCTCAAGTTAGGCTGGGGGGATTCCTCAGCTGTGCCCATGTTTGTCACCCAGGTTGGCAAGTCAGACAGGAGGAGTTGTGAGGCTCATTAATCAGGAAGTCTAGCCTACTTGGCAAGGTCAGGGAAATGAGAAACTTTTTCTCAAAAATCAAGGTGTGGACAGCTAAGAGGTAACCAAGGCTGACCACCATCGCTCACAAGCATGTACACACCCATACACAAACAGAAGTATACACGCATGTATGTGAAAACATACGTGTGCACATATACACACACATGAATACACACACATGAATTATAAAGTCTTTAAAGGGTGAAAACTCTCACCAGTGCTGGTACCTTGAGACAGTAATGTCTTCTCTGGGTTACTGAAGACTTAATCAATGAGAAATATCACAACAGAACCACCTTTTTTGTAAGAATGGTAACAATCTACTATTTGGATCAAAGATTCCTCTACGAATGTTCAGTAAGAGAAAGCCAGGGCAAATGCATAAGTTATATGTTTGATAGTTTTTTAATTCATAGGAGTCACCTAGGAAAGAGTTGCCCCTTGGTTGTATCAGTAGACAAAAGGTGTTCATGTCTATTGGCATTTTTAACTGCTGAGCAAATCTTACATTTCTCCTGCAAAGCCAGGTTAATTCAGTTACCTCCCTATGCAATGCTTCCATTTGAGACAGGTGTCTTAATTAAATAAACTAATAATTTTGCAAGTAGAAGTAGAAAAGCATAATTATCCAATTTGCTAATTGTTCTGTTGTGTGAATTTGCATACTTTTTGCCTGCCACACAAACAGTTCATCTGGTGTATGCTACCATCGAAATGACAGAGCCCCTCCTGGGAGGTACAGGTTCTAACGTGGTGTACTAACGAACTGCACAGGGCTCCTCAGTTAAACATGATCGACAAATGCCAGGTTCAAGAAACTGGAGCCATTTTTGTTTCTGCGGGAGGTCTGGGCCCTGTAATGAAGCATTATGCAGGCATGGGATGCTTGGCGTCATGAGCATCAGATAGAGTCTTGGTGCTGTCATGGCAATGAGTGGGTGGCACCCTTTTGCTCGTGGGTTCCGCTCTTCTATACTCGGCAGGGAAGTGAGAAAACAAATAAAAGCCATGCATTGTGGTTCTCTCTGCCTCTCTCCCTGCCACTCTATCTCTATGTCCTCTCCTCTTTTTCTGCTTCTCCCCCTCTCTCTCACGAACACGCTAGCAAACATACAACTCTTTGTGTCCCCCTTTTACCGTCGGCATGTTGACAGGACTGCGTCCCTTCCACAGCTATGCGGTAACCCTTACTGCTTGTTCTCGGGTGGGCTGCACTGAGGGCCCACGTGCACTGAGCATCTCCACTCCACAAGAAGGTAAAGTAATTTCAAAGGTCTTGACTTCCACATTTCAGTCATGAATAATAAAATAGGAGAAGAGCTAAATGCTGCGAGGCCATTTGCTGGAAAACCCCGACCTAATTTGATGACAAAGTGCATTGCCAGGCCATAATTGCTCCCATTTTTTGGGGGGGTGCGAAAATGAATCAAACTCCATAGCCTTTAATGACATGCATCTTTAATAGCTGTAATGCAGATTAATGGGCTTTTTAATTGCTGTTACGTTGTTCACACCAGAGCCTTGTCATTAATATGAAGCATCTGAAAGATTAATGAAAGCTTCCTCACTTTACTATGGCTCAGAAGTAAATCTAGAGACAGTCTGACTAAAAAGAATTGATTGTATGGCACAGTATGAAATTGAGAATCAAACGGTTGATTTCCATGGTCTCTTTTAACTGCTAAACACCAGCATGGGCAACAGTGATTTCAGGAGGACAGAACCTCCAGATGCCAGTTGAGGCACGTTTAACCACCGCTTTCTCTTCCCACTTGAGTCTCACTTCCGTTGTTCTTGGGATGTGCAAACTGTTAGTCTAAATTAATGTTTCAGAAAACATACATTAGGATGGCAGTGGGGAAGAGAAAACATTTCAGGACTCCAGGAGTAAAAGCTTTGCTCAGGCATCCAAACAGATCTCTTCAGGAAACACCAGCTCTTGGGAAGAAGAGGAGTTGTTGCTTCCTATTTCTGTCTCCTGTGTGCTGCCCAGAAAGAAAGTCATTTAGAGTTGAAAGCTTGGTCTTTGTGGCAAAAGTTAGCTGGCACATGCTCACTCTCTCTGTCTCTCTCTGTGTCTGTGTCTTTGTCTCTCTGTGTGTCTCTCTTTTTTCTCTCTCCTCTTTCTCTCTCTGTGTCTCTGTTTCTTTGTCTCTCTATTTCTCTCTTTTTTCTCTGTCTTTCTCTCCCTCTCTCCCCTTCTCCTCCTTCCCTAAAACCTCCTTTTTATTCTCTTCCTCTTTTACATCTCTTTTCAAACACCATTTGCATTAGGGAATATGTTAAAGAAAGATGGAGAGAATAAGGCAGGCAGAAGCCAGTGCGGTGACATGATGATGACATACAGGATTTTGTAAAATCCTTCTTGAGACCCTTTATTCTGTTTTATGCCGGCTATGGCACAGAGTCCACTCCTTCAGCTGTGCTGTCAGTGGGAAAGTGATTACCCTTTCTCAACACTATCCCAAATCTAATCCACTGAAATGCCATTGTTTCTCTCAGTGTGACATTGTGTCTTCTGGGGTACACCATTATCAACCATTAGCCTCTCATTTTATTGTTACTTCCTCGGGCTTTTCTCCAGGAACTTCCCCATTGCTTCCTCTCCACCCACTTGACCTTGCCTGGTACCCTCCCACCTACTTCACAACCATTTCACCAAGGGATTGCCCACTTACCTAGTTTAATTTCCCAGGCATCATGTGCGCAATTCCCTAATCATTTCCAAGGAGCCATGTCTAATATACAGAATGATATTTCTGTTTCTAGTTAGTATTTTGTTTTGTTTGTTTTGTTTTTAATTTTCTGTGATTTTACTTCATTGGCTAGTGTGTAAACAAATCTTTTTCAACAACTACAGTGTAGTTTCAATATGCAATTCATTTAACTGTCCATTTTTAGGCCATTCCTGTAGTTGGAGACTTTTTAAAATCTCCCGGTTCAGAACTGCTCACCAGGGTTGCGCAAGTCAAATTGCATGCTCTGCCAAGCCAGGGCACACTGTTTGATCTGCTTCAACAGGATCAGCCCCACATGGACATGATGGGTTAACAATGCTTTTGATGAAGTAACACAAATGTCAGTCAAGTGAGCTAGAGTAGGGACTCCCCATCCATCACAGATGCAAATCCTCAGGAATTCAAGACAGTTATTTAGCGCCCTTCCTAAAGCAATTACTGACAAGCTGCCTGTGAATCAGGAAAACTTCCATGCCCAGGCATGCCTACAGCTTTAGCCCGTGATTTATTGGTTTGGTTCTGAAAAGTTTTACTTAGAAAAGTAAACTAAAATTAGACTCTATTTTATTTTCCCACAGCTCCCCAAGAGGTTCCGACACCAGCTGCCTTGTCTCTTCCCAATTCCTTGTCGTTCTCCTGGTGTCCTCCCAGACGAGCAAAGGGGATTATTACTCAGTACTCCTTATATGTGGATGGGAGGCTGGTGTACACAGGCAAAGGACAGAACTGCACAGTCACAGGTGGGCCTTCCGTCACCATCGTATAATAGATTCATATATTTGGTTCCTCCATGACCACTGCATATATTTATCAGAATCAGGTGAGTGATTTTTGACTCCTTGGGACGTCAAGGGAACCTGGGAGTGTACTAGCCGAGACATTTCTGAATTCTGTAGAGCATGTGTTTGAATGAGTGTCAGTATGGCTCCATATACATGGAGCCTTCGAGCTGACCAAGTAGGTAACATCTTTAATCATCTCCATGATCACGTGGCTAGCTATTTGAAATCTGCCTACGTGACAAATAATTTGAAGGTGCAGAAGGATGACTCAACATGAGACAAACACATACACCTAAGCAAAGCGACACCTAAGCAAAGTGAAACTGCCTACAGCTCTCTAAATGCCAGAGGCTCACGATGAGGGTGACATCTGGTATTTGCATTGTGTTTATGCTGATTAATATTTACTCAGACTACTGTGTTTATATCATTGCACTGCTTGTCACACTTCCGGGGAGACAGCAGGACTCAGATGTTGATTGATTTGAAAACTGAGGCCTAGAGGTACTAAGGTTTTTGTAAAAGGTTATAACAAGTCACAGCCAAAGTTAGGATTAATTTTTCAAGGGTTCAATCATTTGCATGAAAGGCAGGTACTAAGATGACAAAGGGAACCACGGTGGCCCTCCTTTCCTGGTGTTCCCAGCTTTCTGGGACACATTCAGATAGTGATACCAGCACAAGGCATTGCTAAGCCATTGTATAATCTTTTATAGTTTTGTCTCCTCTTTATTCTGAGAACATAAAGTGGGTAAAATCTGTGACTTTTATATTATTTCATTCATGGTTAGATGGACATCTGTGATATTTATTCCAAAGGTACATATTGTCCCACTTTGCAGGTAAAGAAACTGAGGTAAGTATGGACAGATCAAGGTCACATTGCTTTTGAGTGACAGACATCGGCACTGACTGAAACAGTCTAGCTACTTGAAGAGTGTGGGCTTACATCATGTCTTCTCTGAGTCTTCAGTTCTGAGTCTATAACAGGAGCATGGTGGTTAATCTTCAGTGTCAGTCCTACTGGATTCAGAGTCACCTAGGCAACATAGCGCTGGATGTATCCATGAAGGTCTTTGAAAGAGACTTAGCTGAGAAAGGAAAAACAAGCCTAAATGTAGCTATGAGGTGTGTTCTCTAGGCTACCACCCCAGGCTCAATAAAAGCAAAAGAGGAACGAGCCAGATAAGTACCTGTCTTTCTCTCTGTTTCCTGATGTCTACAAACTGGCTAGCATCCCTGTTTCCACGCCTGCCTCTCAGTGATGGCCTGTCCATTCGTGCCTGCCCCCATAGTGATGACCTGTTTACCTCTATCCAGGAGCCAAGATAAACCCTTTCTTCCTGTCTTAGTTGGATTTATATTGCTGTGAAGAGACACCATGACCACAACAACCTTTATAAAGAAAAACATATAATTGGGGCTGGCTTACAGTTTCAGAGATTTGGTCCACTATCATCATGGCAGGAAATATGGTTATGCTGGTGTTGGAGAAGGAGCTGAGAGTTCAACCTCTGGATCCATAAGCAGCAGGAACAGACAGTGACACACTGACTGTGCTTGAGCACCTAAGACCTCAAAGCCCATGCCCAGTGACACACTTCCTCCAACAAGGCCACACCTATTCCAGCAAGGCATTACCTCCTACTAGCGCCACTTCCTACGGAGGCCATTTTTATTCAGACTATCATACTTCTTACAATGCTTTTGCCAGGAATTTTTACACAGCAATGAGAAAAGAAAGTAACACAATGGGAATAATTACGCTCCTTGTATTTTAAAGGAACTAGACTGTATAAAACATATAGCACATTGTTTCTCCTTGGTAGAGCAAAGTTGTAATTCCTAGCCAGGTCTATGCCTGTAATCCCTGATAAAGCCCTGTCAGGGAATTGAGAGTCAAGGCCAATCTTTTACATGGTAAGTTTGCGGCCGCCTTGAGCTATATCTGGAGACCCTGTCTCCAAAAATTTATAAGAAAAAAAGACATAATTATTATTTCCTTTAAGATACAGAGTTCATATTACAATTAAGTAATAAAATAATCATAAAATTGACTTGATGACGGGACTGGAGAGATGGCTCAGCATTTAAAAGCACTTACTGCTCTTGGAGTGGGCCTGGTTCAGTTCCCATCACCCACATGCTGCTCGCAACCATCTGTAATTCAAATTCCCGGGGTCCCTTTTCTAACCATGTGCACCAGGCATGTACATGGTACACATACATACGTATCCACATACATACATTTAAACATACAAACATACATACACATACATGTATACATACAAACAAACATACATATAGACACATACATACATATACATATATACATACAGGAAAACACTCGTATACAAAAAATAATGATAAATCTTAAAAGATTGAACTGATACATTCTTTCATATAGCATATATCGGCCACAGAAAATGTTTCATAAATGGTAATTATTAAAACAAACCAGAGAATTTTATGCATGTAGTAATGGATGGAGTACTTTTTCAGGAGCAAAATACATTGTTGTTCATAAAAGGAAACCATTCTGTCCATAAGTGTCATGCCTGTAAGAACCCTTCTTGGGATTCTTGAGAAACCAAATACCTTTATAGCCCTGTCAGTGTTTTGTTTTGTTTTTTAATTTTTTGAGGCTTTTTCTCATTAATTTGGATGATTACTTTTTCTTGTTCTAAAATATATATTTAGAGGATATGAGCATGACTGTTTTGTTTATTGCTGCATGTACAAAAACTACTGCAGAGTGGGTAATAGCTCCGAGGTATTGGAGGAATGAGCAAGGAGTTGCTTGACTCTTGGGAAGAAAGAGAAAGTAGAAAGTAAGTACCATGGTTCAGTTCCTAAAGTGCTCGCCTAAGGAGTGCATGGTTTTGTTTCCAATCCTCAACTTCAGCCAGGAGTGCTGGTATATGCCTGGAATTCCTGCCCACAGGAGATAGAAGCTGCAGGGGTCAGAAGTTCAAGGTCATTTTAAGATGAGTTTGAGATTAACCTAGACTTCAAGTGATCCTGTTTCACATGAAAAAAAAAAAAGAGAGAGAGAGAGAGAAGGAAGTGTCAAGGTGGAAATAATGGAGAGTAGCCTTGTAGGGCTAGGAAATGTGGACAGTAAAAGAAGGAAGGGTTCTAGCTAGACATGAAGCAGGCAAGATCCATGCACAACACACTCTGAACTGGTCTTCACAAGAATGGTCCAGCTGATGGATCATGAGATGCTATGGGCTGCAAATATTTATGCAGATATGCAAAGTTACCATCAGGTGACATTTTGCAAAGCAAAAAGAAAAGCCATGAGAGGGCAGAACCAAAGAACCCACACCAGTTCCTAATACCACCTGTAAAGCCATGGTGTCTGCCATAAATTTCGGAATGAAGTACCCGCAGAGCAGTATGGCAAACTGAACCTGCAGCGGAAGATCTCAGAAATATTATCACCATGAGCCAGTGCAAGAGGCTCCTGTGTGCTCTCCACACCCTCATTTCACATTTTCACATCTGCCTTCTCAGTAACAACTTCCTCAGTAGTTTCATTCTATGTGTAAGGTTTTGAAGAATTGTATCTCTAGTGTCATCCATTTAATTTCTCTAACTTCCTCACAGGCAGCCATTGTTCATGTTGTTGTCACAGATTAGCTTAAGACAGGAAGTATTCTGAGTGCTGTTCACTATGGGGAAGAGCCATGCCTTGAAGCTGAAGGTCAGGTTGGAAAATGGATATAATTCTTCTAATCTTTTTAAAATCAATTAATTTATTTATTCGCTTTTCATCCTGGTCATAGCCCCATCCCTTCTCACTTCCCAGTCCCATTCTCTCTCTTCCCTCTCCCTCTCCACTCTTTCTCAGAAAAAAAGGGAGCCCTCCTTCCTATCTATCCCAGCTCAACAAGACCTATCAGGGCTGAGTGTGTCCTCTTCCCCTGTGGCCTGGGGTCCTCCAGGGGGAAGTAATTGAAAAGCTGGCAAGAAAGTCCATGTCAGGGAGAACCCATGATCCCCTACCAGGTAATCCACATGAGGCCTGATCAGCTACATCTGTGTAAGTGGCCTAGGTCCAGTCCACATAAGGTCTTTGGTTGATACTTCAGTCTTAGCAGGCCCCTCTTGGCCCTGGTTAGTTGGCTCTGTTGTTCTTCTTGTGAAGCTCTTGTCACCTCCAGGTCCTTTTTTCCTTCAACCCCCAACCCCACTTTTTCACGAGGCTCCCTATGCCTCACCCAATATTTGCCTCTGAGTCTCAGCATCTGATTCAAGGTGCTGCTGGGTGGAGCCTCTCAGAGGACAACTCTGCTTGACTTCTGTCTGTAAGCACGGCAGAGTATGATTAACAGTGTCAGGAGTTGGTTCTCTCCCACACGGTGGGTCCTGGTTTGGGCCAGGCCTTGGCCTCTCAGTCTCTGCTGTATCTGCTCTACCCCACACATCTTGTAGGCAGGGTGAATTTTTAGTTAAATTTCCTGTGGCCGGGTTGGTGTTCGCCTCCCTCTCCTAGGAGACTAGTCAAGTTACAGGGCATACTCTTCTGTCTCCATGGCCTCAGCTACAAGGAGTCTCTGCTAGAGTCTCCCTCAGGTCCCCCAGGAGCCTACCCTGATTTAGGTCTCAAGCTTATCAGAGAGTTTCCCTCACCCACAGTTTCTTCTTTCTCTACAGGCCTCTTGTCCTTCCTCCACTGCTCTCCCCCGTTCTGATCTCTAACTTCTTATCTCTCTGTTTCCTCTCTTGCCTTGCTCCCTCTCTTCAATCTTTTTAACGTTTATTTTTCATTAGTTCTTTGACCGTTTCATGCTTGCCTTGATCATGTTCACTCCGCTCCTGCTTCTCTCTGATTCATCACCTCTTCCTTATCCACCCAAATTTGTGAATCACCATGGGTCTTTTTAATAAACCTTCAAAACCAATTTTTGTTGCCCAAAGAGTCTTGGATGTGCCACTGAATGTGGTTGACT